GATGGATGGATGGATGGATGGATCTTACCAAGTCTCCTTTCAGTCCAGGGAAGCCATTGTTTCCTTGATGTCCTTTGAGTCCAGGTGGTCCTGGAGGTCCTGGTTTACCCCTTGGTCCTTGAGGTCCTGGAAGTCCTTTAATCCCTGGGGGTCCGACTGAGCCTTGGAATCCAGGATAACCTGCAGCRCCTTTGGCACCTTTACTTCCTGTTGAGAAAACATGTTGAACTGATCAGCTTGAGACAGACGTTGTCAGTTAAATCTTTAAAGACCTCAGAGCTGCTCTGAACCTCTTCATGTTTAGGAAAAGTTATGTCTTTAAACCATTGACACTTTCACTGAAACAGGGTTTGAACTGTAGGACCAGAGTCAGGACATGGGTCTCACCTCGTGGTCCGGGGGATCCTGTGAGGCCAAGGGGTCCTTGTTGTCCTCTGGAACCTTTAGAGGTGATTAGATTGATTTGTCCTGGAGGTCCCTGATTTCCTTTACAGCCTGCAGGAGACACGGACATGTAGGACAGAGACCAGCCTGGGGTAGAGGTACTACTAGTGTAAAAACTGTGGTAAAACTGTAAGGTGTCTGTAGTAAAGTAGTGAAGATACACTGGAGGAATATGAATCAGTGTGTTAACTATGTACAGCAGTACTATAGTACTGTTATCAGTACAACAAGATAATAGTACTACAGTGATCTTTAATAGTTCAGCAGTAATCTGGGTTYACCTTTCTGTCCGTTTGGTCCATGATGTCCTTGAGCTCCATCTCGTCCCATGTCTCCCCTCTGCCCAGTCATGCCTTGGTCTCCAGGGCATCCCATGGTCCCTGAAGGCCCTGGTCTTCCTTCTTGGCCCTGGGGTCCAGTCAGACCTAAAACCGACATGACTTCAGTGAAACTGTCGAGTCATAAATCATTTTCAACAAATGTGTTTAAAACAGGAGCTCACCTTTTTGACCAAAGACCCCACTAAGTCCAGAGTCTCCATTAGAACCAGGGGGACCACGAGGCCCTGGGCTCCCTGGTGAACCTTGACCTCCTGGTTCACCAGCTTGACCTTTAGAACCAGTGACTGAAAGACCCCCATCCCCAATCTGACCTTTCTCACCTGGATAGCCTTAAACAAAAAACTGATGACATCAGACTCCGATTTTTATCAGAAAAGAAAAAACATTAAAGTCGTCAAAACAAAACAAAACAAAACAAAACAAAACAAAACAAAACAAGAAAAAACTAAACTAAATAAAATAAAATAGAGTAAATAAATAAATAAATAAATAAATAAATAAATACATTAATTAATAAATAAAATAAACTGAATACCTGGATGGCCAAGAGGTCCTCGAGGGCCACTGAGGCCCATTTCACCAGGGGAACCTGCACAACACTGATCAGGTGTTGGGCCCTGGGGACCAGTTGCTCCTGGGTTCCCATTCTGTCCTCTCTGGCCCTTTGGTCCAGGATCCCCAGGCAGACCCAGGACACCTACACAAACACAGCCTCCTTCAGACTTTGGGTTTGAAGTTGGTTTCATTTCACGTCTCGTTTTCTTTTCTTCTTTAGATCAAAGTAAATATTTTGCTGTTTCAGAAACTTCCTGCAGACTCCGTAAAACTAAAGAAACTCTTCTGACTCTACGTGAACTCAAAGGTGTGGTTTTACCTGCTGTTCCTTCTGGACCAGGGGGACCAGGGACACCTTTAGGTCCTGGAAAYCCAAGTGGTCCTGGAAAGCCAGAAGGTCCTGGGGGGCCATTATCGTTGTCACCTTGTGATCCTGGGAGTCCAGGGAGGCCCCGGAGTCCTGGAGAGCCTGGAGCACACAGGATCAAACACATGTTGAAGGTTCAGGAACCATCAGAGACTGTCTGTAGGTCTGAATGTTCAAAKAAAGAACCCCAGCTGTGGAACCTCAATAAGTCCAACATTTCTGGATCTGAGATCATGGTCAGAACTTCTCAGGTCCAGCTCTTCCTCAACAGTGCCTGAGTAAAGRCAATCTAACAACTGTTTTATTGAAGCATTCTGTAGGGTWTTACCTGGACCCCCATCAATACTGAGACCCTCGGTTCCTTCGTCTCCAGGGTCTCCAACAGCTCCTCGAGGTCCTGCAGGAGAAGAGGAGATGAGAAGAGCTCAGTTTGTAAAAAAAGACAAGTGTGATGGACATGAGGAAGGTGGGCTAAGGGACCTTGTGGCCCAGGTGGTCCTGGAAGTCCTTTCCGACCCTTGTTTCCTTTGGGCCCATCTGGTCCTCTGATGCCTTGATAACCTTTAGGACCAGGGCGACCTGGACCACCTGAAAGGAAACAGGAGAACAAGTYAGAGAGGTTTTCTCCACATTTCTTCAGCCAGCAACACGACACCCACTCCTGATCTCAACTCGTTCTGAATCCACCACATGGATCAGACCAAAGATCTATCTGAGGACTTCAGGGACCAGGTTGTAGACCTGCAATGCTGGACTGGAACAGGACCATTAGCAGGTGTGACCAGCAGCAAGGCAAGGAACTTCACATTGAAGCCTTTGGGACCTGAACCAGATTGAAGGGTCAGGTTTTGGTATCAGGATCAAGTTGARTCAAAGAGTTTTAAAACCCAGGAGAACTTCAGGAGAACTTCAGACCTTTTCTTCCAAACAGCACAGATTTCCTGCACAGCAACAAATGAAAACATTAAACAGGAGCCAAAGCTCACCTGGTTGTCCAGGGTCTCCCTTCTGTCCACTTGGACCAGGTCTTTGATATCTACAGGGAGTATCACCTGCAGGAAGAGGCAGAGTCAMACAGAAGGTCAGCTGTTTTATCACAGCTGAAAATCAAAAGCAGGTCAATGAAAAGTCAGAAACAATGGCTGAAACTGAATTATTTGTATTCAAATCACATCATTACCTTTTTCCCCCTTTAGGCCCTGAAAGCCAGGAAAGCCAGGAAATCCAGGTTTTCCAGGGAGTCCACGCAGTCCTATAGCTCCAGGCACACCTTGTCCTGGAGGACCTGCTGGTCCCCAAAACCCCTTTAGTCCTGAAAGTCCCTGGAAGCCTTGATCGCCCGGGAAGCCAACAAAACTTTCACCCTGAAAAAGAAACAGATGAATGAAGGGATGAATGAAGGGATGAATGTTTGACGACGGCGCCTCCTACAGGCTGCAAACATCTTTACAGTCAGGAATAAAAGGATCCTGATGATTTCTTTTGAAGTGGTGGATCCCGTCCCTCTGGGATYATCAGGAGACCTTCTGACAACTGATTTCACTCCACTTGGGTTGACCCATTTGTCTACTGTCTGTCTGTGTTCACTGACCTGGGGGCCAGGGTTCCCAGGGGCCCCTGGAGGCCCACCGAGTCCATTTCTTCCTGAGAATCCTCGTCCACCTGTAGGACCCATTGGGCCCTGGTCTCCCTTTCTACCTGGAAACCAAAATAARCCATGTGAGAATAACCTTAGCTAAGAACCAGATACTGGATAACAGTAGCATAWATGACCCCYGCACATGTTCAACCCACCCAGGCACCAGAACTCACATACGGGCTGCAGCTGTTTACAAACAAAATACTTTTTTGATGTAAAAAAAACTCAGAGTTGTACTGAAGATGCTTTATATATTTAATATTTATCCAGCTGTGGCTACAATGTAGCTTACCACCATCAGTGTGAATGAGATGCATGGAAATATAAAGAAACTTTGAGGGTCTCGAAAAGCACTATATAAGACTAATTATTATTATCGTCATTAATACTATAAATTTATCAATATACTGGAAAAAATTTATAAATCTCTGAGAGGAAAACTTTTTAATATACAAAACAAATAAAATTGACCTTTTATCATCACCGTGGTTAAATCTCCTTTCTGTCCTTTAGATCCTTTAACTCCCCGAAATCCAACCATACCCTGAAAACAAACAAACAAACAAACAAACAAACAAACAAACAAACAAACAAACAAACAAACAAACAAAATCCTTTAGTTCAAAGGTCACGGAGGTTTCCTCTAACTCTGCTGTTTTAGCCTCACCTGTTCTCCTGCCACTCCTCTGTCTCCAGGTAAACCTTTGTCTCCTTTCAGGCCCTCTGGTCCTTTGCCTCCTGGATTTCCTGGGGCCCCAGTGTTCCCATGTGGACCAGGTGGGCCCCTCATTTCAATTGGAGGGCCACAGAAACAGGTGCCAGGGTCACCTGAAACACATCAGTATAATGTGGGACTGTGAGGAGTTCCTCAGGGAAGCATGTTTGGGTCTCTGTTTTATTTTATTTATGGAYGGAAAAAAACTTGTTCTTCTGGATTTTTCTTGTTTAAATCTTGTTTAGAAAAACTACTTTTATTAAATTTATATCCAACAAGTAATATCAGAGTCTACACTTACTAAAACCAGTGTGTACAAAAAATGTAACCAAATCAATTTCAGTAAAACTTTGTAATAACCACACCGTATTTAGCTTTACTTAATCATAATTAAATGATTAATTATACTTGAAACCATCATTAATCAGGGATAATTCATACTTAATAACCTATAAATTAAAATATAAACATACTTCCAAAACCAACATACTCATTATTTGTTCATACTTAATAACTTCTGAATTACTATTCTGTATACTGTGTGTCTGTGTATGTAAGTGATCATATTAATACTTTCACACCATGTGTTAGACATACATTAATGATCAGAGAACATATGAAGTCACTATCTACTAACCTACGGAGCATCAATAATTATTAATACAGTTGTTAGTAGGTTTATGTAAATTCTTGGCTCTCACTTGTTAAAGGAGACAAATGAGGGAACATTTCATTCATCCTGAACGAGCTGAATGTTTTTATACAAGAAGAAATAAAATCAGAATGTCTACAGTTGTTTCACTGCAAAAAGCAAAGAGAAATAAAACAAAAACAGGAAGCACACTGACCTTTAAACCCACTGGAACCAAAGGCCCCTGGGGGCCCCTGTTGACCTGGTTCTCCAGTATGTCCTGGGGCACCTTGAAGGCAGTAAGTTCCTGCAAAGAAAAAACAGAAAACAATTATTTATTATTTCACTTGAAACAAACCAAAATACTGAGAAATAAAACKTTTGTACCTGGGAAACCAGGCTCTCCCTTCGGCCCCTTGAATCCTGGCTGTCCTGGTTTTCCAGGTTCTCCAGGTTCCAGTTCTTCTATCATCTGACCTGGATTTCCTTTGTCCCCTTTAAACCCTTGAATTCCTTCCTGACCATCAGAACCGGGTGGTCCTGAAGAAAACAATGATCACAKTTATACCACCTTAAAGATGGTAAAATGACTGAACTTCTACAGCTCATACTGGGGTACACTGATAGAGGGGGGCTGCCATGTACCGGCGCCACCGGACCCTCTGACCACCATCAGTAGGCAAGGAGGATGAAGTGTCTTGCCCAAGGACACAACGACTGAAATGGCTGGACGGGGGATCAAACCAGATACCCTCCAGTTRCAGACAACTTCACTAACCACTGCCACAGCCCCCCACAAAAACAAATCATTCTCAGACCACCTTAAATCTAAGACATGAGGCACCAACAGAGACTCTGCCTCGCTCACCTGGTACGGATCCCCCAGGTGATCCTCGAGGACCATGCAGTCCCATAAACCCTCTGTCCCCTGGAATACCTCTCCGTCCAGGGGCCCCAGGTTCACCATCTTCTCCTGGAAGACAGGAAGTTATCAGCTCATCCTGCTGATCAATCAGCTGATTGATTGGTTCGTTGAYCAGTACCTGTGTTGGTAACGTAAGGACTCTGAGAGACGCCTTTGGGGCCCACATCTCCCATGGTGCCCTGCAAACAGAGTCTCATGTCAACAAAGACCATTTCCTCCATGTTTGAAACTAGATCCTGTTGATCCGACTCCTTCTGGATCTGTCCAACATGACCAAAGACAAGAMCTGAAACCAAAGAGACCAAACCCAGACTGACCTGAAGACCCTTTTGTCCAATCAGACCTGGGAGACCCTGGGATCCTTTGGACCCCTGAAAACACAAAACACAGTTAACTCAGTAAAACAGCAGAACCTTGGGAGGACCAACAGATCAGGAACAGAACCTTCTTGGTTCTGACTCACCTTGATACCTTTGTACCCAGGCAGACCTGGCCGACCCGGGTCACCCTGAAACAAAACCCAGAACCTGTTGGTGAGACCTGAATACTGGATCTGAACATCCGGACAGCTTCTGCAGTGGGACAAGAACTTACTCTGGACCCTGGAAACCCCACAATCCCAGTCTCTCCTTTGATCCCAGGGAGTGAGTCCGGACCCTAAGACCACAAGAACTCATCATCACCTTCATCATTTTGATGGACCAGAACCTCTCTGCTCAGCAGCTGATTTACTTCATAACATAAAAACCTGTCCCAGCTCAGGAGAACTTACAGGTGGTCCCTGAACGCCACATTTCCCTTTGACCCCTTCTGGACCCTGAAAAATCAGCAGAATCAGGTCAGAACCCAAAACAGAACTTTGTGCTGCTTTTAATGAAACTAAATCTGTTTTCTTAATATTAGACWGAACCAAAACCCAGAATAAAACAAACAAACCACCGTCAGAACCGCTCACCTGTTCCCCTTTGATGTACAGGTCCTCAGGAGGGTCAACATACTCAAAGGGCCCTGGAGGCCCTTCAGGGCCCTGGTCTCCCTGTGGGTCAAACAGAGTTCTGTGGGACCCCTCATACTGAAGCTGCTGCAGTTTCACAGCTTCATCTCAGAAACAAAACAACAGAACTTTAACARCTCTACAGACCTGTGGATCCAGGTCCCAGAACCAGGTCTGCTGCTTGGCCACACCCCTTCAGTGATGTCACCACAGGTGTCCTCAAAGTTTGATCACATGTGGTGCCCACATATACCCAACAATTTTAATATGAGCTGCTTCTCTGTGTGATGTCACTGAGGGGGTGTGGCCAGACAGATATATCTGAGGGGGCGTGACTATTAAGATGTAACGGTGGGCGTGGCCAGAGGGCACTGTATTTACCTCGTCTCCTTTCTGTCCCGGCAGTAATCGACCTTTTTCTCCCTGAAACAAACACGCAAACAAACAAACAAACATCAGCTGTTAGTCTGGAGCTGACTGATCTGTATAATAAACACCACAAAACAATGAAAACACCAATCACTTACAGGTGGACCCCTCAAACCAGGAAGACCAGGTAGGCCCTGCCCCAGCACAGGAACATGAATAACACCAGTTATAAACATTCAGACAGTTCAGATTAAACAATGACATCATTTTTACAGGACATTTCAAACACTGAGTAGAACTGAAGACTCACGTTGACCCCATCAGGTCCTGCAGGACCAACAGCTCCCACCTGACCCGGTTGACCCTGCTCCCCCTGCAGACAGACAAAAAACATGACAGCAGTTTCCTCCCATTAACATTTGTTTCCTCATTAGTTTGGATAGTTTGCTCACCTGCAGACCAGGTAAGCCCCTGAGGCCAGCGTCTCCCTGTCAGACACAAACACTAAGATCAGCTGAACTTCACACCAAACCAGAAACCTGCTGCTTCAGGATGGACGGACTTACAGGAACTCCTGGGAACTGAATGGAATGAAATACTTGATCTCCTGGATATCCCTTCGGTCCTGGAAAACCCTGGAAAGTAAAGCATGGTTACCATGGTGATGACCTGAGACCGGACTCTCTGACAAGGTGCCACCAGCAGCAGACTATAAATGTTCCTCAAACACCATAGAGTTACCAGTTCTCCATTTGGTCCTTGTTCTCCTGGCAACCCACGATGTCCTCTGTCTCCTCGGGTTCCATTACATCCATCCAGACCAGGAAGACCAGGACCTCCAGCAGGTCCTGGGTGACCCTGAACAAACAAACATCTCCACTAACAGACCAACCAATCAAAAGAGTGGACAGGCTGGTAGAGGCGGGGCTTCTTACCGGGACTCCGTTTATACCTGGAAAACCCGGAACACCTCGACTTCCCTGGAAACCACAGAGAAGAAGAGTTTGTAAAAGTCCCGTCTCAGGTTGGACACCATGTGACAGCTCTGTGAGTTCTGATTGGTGTCACTAACGTGAGCTGAAGTCTAGGACAGTCTGTCGGTCCTTCATCAAAAAGACTCTAAAACCAACAGCTGCAGATCAGCTGAAAACAGGTTAGCTGCTAGCAGTTAGCTGGATAGCTTTTATGATGTTCAGCAACTCTTACAATGATCATCTCAGACATGACTCCAGAGTTCTTAGAGAACCCCAGACCCACAGGAACCTGTCTACCTGTTTGGTGAACAGTGGACTACTCTGGACCAGTTCTTTCATTAGACCTGATCCCAGATGGTTGTTGAGTTGGAGAACTACGTTGGTCTTACTCACAACATCTCCTTTCAGTCCAGGAGCTCCTGCTGGACCCTCATCTCCTCTTTGRCCCTTCTGTCCTGGGGGTCCCTGAAGGCCCGGGAAGCCTGGTGGACCCTGCAGACCCTGAGGACCCAAAGGACCTGGAGCACCCTGTAGCACAAAAAGAAAGCTGACTCGGCATGATGGAAACCAGTGGAACCAAGAGAACCACATCCTCCACTAAAAACAGAGCTGAGACCCTGACACACCCAGACCCGACCCCCTCCTCTGTACAACTAGACCACAAACAGGACCAGAGACCAGGAGCAGGTCTGGTGGAGTCCAGTTCAGCCTTGTGCTGAAGATGAGGATGCAGCTGTTGGTTCGGTTTGGGACCAGATCATCATGAAGGTGATACTGGGTCATGTTGGACACCATGTGACCTCTCTGAGCTCTGATTGGTCGAATCCTTCATACTTGTCCAAATCATCTCAAGTCAAAGAGGTTTTGTTGGTTGGACATCTCTAAACCCAACAGATCAGACCAAACTATCAGCTGCTGCTCGAGTTATTTACTCACATAAACCCTAAATGTGGTACAAACCAGCTGCTTATTCCAAGAAAACTTCAGAAAATGAGATTAACTGAACAAAACATTTCCACAGATCAATAATCTGTAGGTTAATTAATGAAACCATCYGGGTCACATTAGAACCTAACAAGATGAAGCAAACAGAACAACAACCTGCATTGGTTCAGTGACAGGAAGTGTAATAACAGCCAACCATCAGARGAGGGCAGCGTGACACAACAGGACATGTTCTGCAGCTTAAACACTTTAAATCCCACAGAAGAGAAAACCAACACATTACACATCAGGACATGAGAAGGAAACACGGAAAACAGAAACCATAATAATAACAGAAATGAGAAGTTTGTTAATAAAACTGTTCAGATACAGGAAGTGACATCATCAGACCTGAAACTTCAAGAGAAATCCTCCATCTGAAGCTGTGATTGTGTAAAAACTTTGTTAAAATTCTGATGGTTCTGGTGTGAGCTGTAGATCCAAACAGGACGGGTGACAAAGTCACATGCCCCGGTTACCCTAAGTTACCCTGAGTTACCCTGAGTTACCATGTTACCCTAAGTTACCCTGAGTTATCCTGGGTAACCATGAGTTACCATGTTACCCTAAGTTACCCTGAGTTACCCTGAGTTACCCTGAGTTACCATGTTACCCTAAGTTACCCTGAGTTATCCTGGGTAACCCTGAGTTACCCTGAGTTATCCTGGGTAACCCTGAGTTACCCTGAGTTATCCTGGGTAACCCTGAGTTACCCTGAGTTATCCTGGGTAACCCTGAGTTACCCTGAGTTACCATGTTACCCTAAGTTACCCTGAGTTACCCCAGGTTACCCTGAGTTATCCTGGGTTACCCTGGGTTACCCTGAGTTACCCCAGGTTACCCTGGGTTCTAAAACGACACTTCCAACCATCAAACTAACTTCTTCTTTTTAACAGGGTRAACCTCTGGGTAAAGCACCTTTTCCACAACATGGTCTGGAGCAACACTATAGGTCACGACCTTGATAGTGAAAGAGTGTCATAAAGTCCTGATGCATCTCAGTGATCCAGCTATAAAAATCAAAAAGAAAAATAGTATAGGTCCTCTGGATGGTTCTCCTTTAATGAAACGTTTCGTCTCTCCTCCAAGAGACTTCTTCAGTCTGATGAGTTTCAGGTGAACTCAGCCTTATGAGCTTTGCCTCCACATGGACAAACAGGTTAGTCACATGCAAAAGAGGACCATCAGCCTAACGATAGGTTGTTGGTGCCTTGATTAGCTCTGTTGTTCATAAAGGGTCATGTGTCCCATCATCTGACTATTATTGGGGCCCTGATTCACACCTTTTGCTCACAGGGGGCGGAGTCATACTTGCAATAACAGCGTTGTAGGAGGAGGACAACTGGACACGAAGGCCTCCACCTCTGTTTAATGGTGGACGGTTTTTCTTCACAAAGATGGCTTCCTTTACTCCTCTCTCAAAACAACGTTCCTCTCTATCAAGGATGAGAACATCTTCCCTGAAAGAGTGACCGCTGGCCTGTAGATGAGTGTAAACTGCAGAGTCCTGGCCTGTAGATGAGTGTAAACTGCAGAGTCCTGGCATGTAGATGAG